AAGTTGCCCTTCGCTGGCTCTCCCCACAGGGTGGGTTTCCTGAGCCGGACCAGCTGGCTGCTAGGATGCAGGTGAGTGGCCATGCCCACCGGGGGAGCTGCCCGCGCTGGCCTCCCTGACTGACCACCCGGGTCTGGGCCTCCTCCTGGCCCTTCTCTGCTCTGTCCACAGCAGCTCATCTCAGCCTGAGGCCTGGAAGGGACACCCGACAGGGACTGAGCCCCACAGGTCTGGCCCCGGCCCAGCTTTCCTCCTGCCCCAATTCTGGGGTGCCTTGAGCGCCCCACCAGCCCGCCCGTCCCCCATACCCAGGCAGTGCATGGTCTGCCCATCCCCCCACCCTGATGTAGAGACCTGACGCGCCCCACCTCGCCCAGCCCTGCACTGCCCCCCTCCCAGGCCTGGGGCCCTCCCGTGTCCTTCGGGCTGGCCTTTCTGTCCTCTGCCCACGAGGAGCCTCCTCCGGGCCCAGGAGGACCTTCCCGGCACCACACAGCAGTCCGGCCTCTGCCTGCCAGCGCCCTGCTGCCCTGCGGCTCCCAAGCTGATGCCCCCGGGGCCGCACAGAGGGCTCAGATCCACCCTGGACAGCCTGGAGCAGCCGGGCCCAGTGTCCAGGGCCAGAGCTGCCCGCGGGGCCGTCCCTCCAGTGGCCCCAGCTCCTCCCTGCATTCTGGTGACCCCCTCATGTTGTCATCTGCAGCGCAAACGGCAGCCAGACAGGTGGCGGGCAGGTGGTGAAGCTGCCCAGGTGGGTGTCTGCTGGCGCGGCCCATACCTGCCCCACGCCCAGGGGAGGGGGTGCAGGCAGGGTGCAGGGATCCTCGTCCCGCCTCCCTGAGCCCGGCGGGTAAGGGCGTCCCAGGCCGGCCACGCCCCTGGGGCTGCCCCGCCAGGAGGTCCCTCTGCCCCAGCCCTCGGAACTGACACCCCCGGCTTTAAGCCCCAGGAAGGCGCCGCACCCTGAGGTCAGACCTGGGGGGCAGGAAGCGCATGGAGCACCTCTACCTGGAGTGGACAGGGGTGCTGGGCCATCTGCCTCAGCTGCGGCTGTGCCCCCCCCCCCACGGGGTCCTGCTCCCAGCAGGCACCCCCCTGCACCAGCACCCACCTGCACCGGCACCCCCAGCAAGCACCCCCCTGCACTGGCACCCCCAGCAGGCACCTCTGCAGAAAATGCCCTGAACAGACACCCCCGCAGATGCCCCCTGCACGGTGTTTTTCAGGATGCTCTACCCGCAACCCCAGGTGCTGACCCCCGCGTGAGTACCTGCCCCCTGCACACCCCAGATTCACAGCTTCTGCTCTGGTAAGACCAGGACGGGCCAGCTCTGTCCTTTCTGTCTGTGGCCACGCGGCCAGCTCTGGCCGGCTCCTGCTTCTGTCCTGGGGCCACAGAAAGTAGCAGGGGATGGTCCCCCCCCAAGGGACCTTGCTAGACTCCCAGCGCCCACTGATGTCCGGTGGGGTGAGAGCCGGCCGGGTCTGCGCAACCTCGGTCTGCCTTGGGTCTGGTGGGCTGCGGAGGCCACGCGCTGGCGGGTAGCCCCGGAGATAGGGACCCCTGGGGCGCATCCCGGCTCACTCCCGGGGGGCCGCTGTCCCACAGCAGGACGGACGTCCTGGTCCTGACCCCCTGGCTGGCCCCCATCATCTGGGAGGGGACCTTCAACATCCACATCCTCAACGAGGAGTTCCGGCTCCGGAACGCCAGTGTCGGGCTGACCGTGTTCGCCCTCAAAAAGTAAGGGTGCGCGGGCTTGTCTGGGGTCAGGACGGGGGTCCCCGCAGCTCAGCCC